TATTTGACAGAGAGAGAATGCACAGCAGGGGGAGTGGCAGGCGGAGGGAGAGGAAGAAGCAGGTTCCCTGCAGAGCAGGGGAGCCCGATGTGGGACTCGATCCCAGGACCCTGGGATCATGACCTGAGCCAAAGGCAGACGCTTAACCCACTGTGTCACCCAGGTGCCCCCCTCTGCACATTTTTAAATTGTCATTTTGTATGTTGAATTATAAGAGTTTTTATTTTTTTTAATTTTTTTGAATTATGAGTTTTTAATATATTTATATATTTTCTGGATTTTATGGGTTTTTAGTATGTGTGCTGCTGAAGCAAGCACAGGATTTTATGGGTTTTTAACATTACATAAAAAGAAGCCATTACCTCTTCAAACCATAACATATTACCTCAGGTAATATTAGTGATTATTAAACATAATTTGTGATGAGTATGGCTTAACAGAGGTCTGATTTTAGGTCCTATTCTGAAAGCCTAGGCAGATTTGCCACTGATTTACTTCTAGCTATGACCAAGTCACATAAACCACCACTACAATCATTGTTTATTTACCACATAAAATTGAAAAATGTATATGTATATATTTGTAAGGATGAAATTCTAAATAAAAAGAGCAAAACCTAGAACAAAATACTGCTCAGAAGCTCAGAGACTATAGATTTTGTATTATGATGCAATAGAAAAACGTGGTATTAGAGAAAGAGAACCATTCCATTTAATATTTTTCTCTCCATCACTATATGAAAATGGTACAGGGGAAGGATTAAAGTCAGATGCCCTTTCCTTTAGTTTCTCCTCCATTCTCCACTTCAATTCCTGAGACATTTCAGAACTAACAGAGGCTTCACTGAGATATAGGGGAGAGGAATGAAGTTGTCATTGGCTATCTGGTCTCCTCCAGCTACCCACCCAGCCAAGGAATTGGCTTTCCTGTGTGTTCCTCACAAGGACCTTCAAAGTTTGAACAATGAGGTGGTCAGAAATTGGAAGTCCCCTGGTCCCAGTGCCACTTAACTTCTAAACAAGTTGTGGGTGAGTACACAAAGGAAGTAGCATTAATGGGCATAAGGAAGAAAGGGGGTGAGGAGAACACTGAGGGACTGATTAGAGGAAGCAAAAGAGTCATTTGGCCTGGGCCTCAAGCTCAGGGCAAGCTACCAGTTTAGGTACTTTTTAATTTCATGGCACTGAATTGATCTTTGCCTGCTTAACATTAATTGTTAACACTGCACAAGGCTAGCATTTCCCACTAATAATAAAAGCACTTGTAGAAAACAAAAGTTTGAAATAAGTTTGCTTTTGGGGCACCTGGGTGGCTCAGATGGTTAAGCGTCTGCCTTCGGCTCAGGTCATGATCCCAGGGTCCTGGGATCGAGTCCCGCATCAGGCTCCCTGCTCCTTGGGAGCCTGCTTCTCCCTCTGCTTCTCTCTCTCTCTCTCCTCCTCTGTCTCTCATGAATAAATAAATAAAATCTTTAAAAAAAAAATTAAAAAAAAAAAAGAAAAAAAATGAAATAAGTTTGCTTTTTAAATGCTTATTTTTTCTTTTAATTACTGATTATACTGGTTAGAAACTCCCACTGGAAGTGGCACAGTCCTTTTTAGATGTGTGAACAAAACACTGTTACAACTTTCTATACAGTCAAAAATAAGCAGAATACTTACTTTTTTTTTAAGGCTTAACATAGGGATCCCAACAAGATGTCTGTGCAGAAGGCTACCAATGAGATTTTAAGATTGGATGTAAGTAAAGAAATGTATTCATTAAGAACTATGGGTACTGGGCGCCTGGGTGGCTCAGTTGGTTGAGCGACTACCTTCGGCTCAGGTCATGATCCTGGAGTCCCGGGATCGAGTCCCGCATCGGGCTCCCTGCTCGGCGGGGAGTCTGCTTCTCCCTCTGACCCTCTTCCTTCTCGTGCTTTCTATCTCTCGTTCTCTCTCTCTCTCAAATAAATAAAATCTTTAAAAAAAAATTAAAAAAAAAAAAGAACTATGGGTACTACTTTACTTTCCTATTGGAATGTAAGCTCTAGGAGGGTAGGGATTTTTGTTTCTCATTAATATAACCTCAGTGCCAGAACAGTACTTGGAGTAGAGCAGGCATTTAATACATATCTTTTTTGAGTGCATGAATGAATCCCATAGCTAAATAATATTAAGTTTTCTTTTATATATCTTAGCGAGTTGCTTTTTTTTTTAGACAGTCACATAAGAAAATTTTACACTGGAAAAGTTAATCATATTTAAAAATAACTTTTCAAGCCAAGATATTATTCTCATTTAAAATACATTTCTCTTTTGGGGTGCCTGGGTGGCTCAGTTGGTTAAGCGTCTGCCTTTGGCTCAGGTCATGATCCCAGGGTCCTGGGATCGAGCCCCGCATCAGACTCTGTGCTCAGCGGGGAGCCTGCCTCTCCCTCTCCCTCTGCCTGCCTGTCTTCCTACTTGTGATCTGTCAAATAAATAAATAAAATCTTTAAAATATATATATATATGCATATATATATATTTCTCTTTTATTGTAGCTCAGCATCTCCATTTTTTTTAAAGATTTTATTTATTTATTTGACAGAGAGAGAGAGAGCAGCAGAGGTAGAGGGAGAAGCAGACTCCCCGCTGAGCAGGGAACCCCATGTGGGACTCGATCCCGGGACCATGACCTGAGCCTAAGGCAGACGCTTAACCGACTGAGCCACCCAGGCGCCCTCAGCATCTCCATTTTCTACTATATGTTTTTATGTGTTCATAAAAGTATACCACAAGGTAGCATACAAAACCTCATAAAGACATTTCTGGAATTCTGTAAAAATTTTACTATATACTTATAGAAAACCTCCCTGAAATCCAGGCAAGAGGATTTGCTTGAGGGCTAGGCTCTGTCCCCCTCTAGCATATGTCCCTCCCTACAGGGCAAGAAGACCACAGAGCCCAGGGACATGCCCCTTCTCACCTGGAGAACCTCTTCCAAGGCCTTCCTGGTCCGTCCTAGGAGGGCAGATGAAGCTGGCGAGCACGTTCCAAAGGTCTGGACTGCTCAGGCAATGCATCTGCAGGAGCTGGGATAGGCTGTCCTTGGGACAAGGAGGGCTCTCGGAGTCCATCTCTCCCTGCTTTGCCACTCATTAGTGCAGGGCTTGAGGAGTCCAAGAATTCTGGGGACCTTAAGAAGGCATCTTTATCAAGGTAGGAGCAGCTTGTTAGTGCCATTTATAACTTCTGATTATTTACACATATGGGATGTGGACCTCCATTTTCACTGACAGGGCCCTGCAAACATTAGAGACAAGACTGTGTATGTATGTAATTTGTTGATTTTTTTGTGGTGTGTATTTGCTTACTTACAATCTGTACTTGGAATCTCTACATTAGAATCCCGAGATTTCAGTAACAAAATCAGCAGCTTATTTGAATAGCTTGTATTGGCTATCAGGAAGTAAAAATGATTCATCAAAATGGGCTACGATAGAATTTGTAAACAAAGGTAAGTACAGCAGCTATTATAGTTATCTACCACTATTTCGGTTTTTCTCCTTCCAGGAATATAGGACTGTACTTACCTATCCTTTGGTGCTAGGTGTGGCTATGTGGCTAGCATTTTTTTTGAGCTCTGGTTTCTACTCTTTTTATAATAATTTTATTGAGGTGTAATTCTCATATCATAAAATTCACCCTTTTATAGTGTACAGTTCAGAGGATTTTAGTATTTTCAGTTATGCAACTAACATCACTAACTTTAATACTTTTGTACCATTGCCACAGAAAGAAACCTGTACCTGTTAGCAGATTATGACTAGGTTTGACCACTGTAATTTGAGTAGGAAGGTTTGTACATAATGTGACAGCAAGTCTTTTCATAGCTAGTGCTGGGTTCACCACGTTCTCCCCTTGCCATGGTGGCTGGTGTATTACAAGGTGAGGCTCTATCAGCCTGCATCTTGGAGGATACAAATGGAACCAAGCCCTTAATGAACCAAGAATATGGCTAAGAAATAAAGTTTCATTGTGTTTAGTCACTAAGATTTGGGGGTGGTCCCTAGACACGGCATAGCATAGCACACCATGATCCATACACACAGGATAAAGATCTGTTTGATCAGAAACTATTTGAGGCAGGGTTTTTTAAAAGTGCTTAGAAATTGTAATTATAAAAGACTCATTACTAATCACCTTCTTATAATGAAAAAGAGGCTGATTTTGAATGAGATGATTATTGAAGGAAAGTCACTTCATTTAAGCTAAGAAAAGGACACTTCACCAATTATATTTACCATTGAGGGTCCAATATGACTCCATCATGAACTTTGGTCTGCTGATGGGAACATGACAGATATCACCATTTGGGACACTATGCTTTCTTAAGGTTTCTTTCTGGAATCCTACCTGGAATTTACTTGGGTCTATGGTATAAAATAAAGCCCCAGATTGGTATTTTTTTCCTCCAATCATTTATCCTTCAGCCTATATTAAACACAATTTAGTCTTTCTTCTTAAATGAGTAATTGCAATATCTCAGGTTTCCATTTTCAGTATCCTATCACTGTTCAGTATGGTTGATACATAAAATGTGAGATATTCTGTAGATCTTAAGGTATGCTCTATTCATTAATAATGCTACCAGCATAGTTTAGGTTTCCATTACTCGTCATCACTATAAAATTGTTATCAACCAATCCCCATTCTTTTCTTTTCCTCTAATCTATTAGCTGCCAGATTAAACTTCCTAAAATGTAGTTCTGATAATGACACTTCCCTATACAAAAACTTTCAATTGAGGCTCCTGGCTGGCTCAGTTGGTGGAGCATGCGACTCTCTTCATTTGGGGTATTGAGTTCAAGCCCCATGTTGGGTGTAGAGCTTACATTAAAAAAAAAAAAAAAGTAGTAAAAAACAAAACCGAAAACCAAACAAAAACCTTCAAAAACCCTCAGAAAATAAAAAATAATTTAGCTAGGTATTGTATTACTTTGCTAGGGCTGTCATAACAAAGTACCACAAACTGGGTTGCTTATAAAAAAGGTTATTTATTGCCTCACAGTTCTGGGAGCTACAAATCTGAGATGAAGATGTTGACAAGGGATGATTCCTTCTGAAGGCTGTAGGAAGAATCCGTTCTATGCCTCTTCCTTAGTTCCAGGTGGTTTGATGGTAATCTTTGGCATTCCTTGGCTTGTAGAAGAATAACCCCAATCCCTGCCTTCCTCTTCACATGGTATTGTCCTTGAGTCTATGTCCAAATTTCTTCCTTTTATAAGGACATGTCATATTAGATTAGGACCCCATTCTACTCCAATATAACCTCATCTTAACTAATGTTTACATCTGTAATAACCTTACTTCCAAATGAAGTTACATTATGAAGTACTAGTTTAGGACTTCAACACAGGAATCTGGAGGTGCACAATTCAATCCATAACAGTATTCAAAGTCCTCCACAAGGTTTCCTGCTTCCCTTTTCAGCTTTATTTTCCCATACCTTACTACTTCACCTTACACCTGAGGCACTGCAGACAACAAAAAGCTTTCTGTGAATCACTACAGTATTTTTCTGTTTCTGTTCATTTTTCTTCCTCTAATTCTTTTGTACTCTCTCATCACATCCTGTGCATCTTCAAGGTCAAACTCAAATGATCCTTTTAAGCATAAATCTAAGTTTCCTATTTAGAAGTAACGTCTCTTTTTTTTGACTCCCTAGGTATATTATTTGTATTTCTCTAATGGAATTTAGCGTGTAATTTGTAACTTGTTATACATGGCTTATATGGTCTATAATCCTTACCAGACTGTAAGCCCCTTATGAAGATAAGACACACATCTAACTCATCCTTTAACTTTCCCACAGTATCAAAGTGCTTTATAACAAATATTTGTTGAATAAAGTTATAAATATCATAGAGCTTATAGTTTAAAATCTCTGATAGTACTTATTTTATCATTAGTATTTACTCGACTACAGAAAAAAATTTTATTAATAGGTACTTTTGACTTTAATATATGTTATGGAAATGCACAAATGTTTTCAAACCAATATATAGATTCAGATACGAATTCTGAGCCTAGAAGGTGAAATTATCAATGTCCTATAAGAGCCCATTAAACAACTCTAAATTCTTTCCTACAATAGTATTTTTAAAAGTTCCAATGACACAAACAAGTTTCACTTAATTCATTGTTATAGTTGAATAAATATTTATTAATCCCATTCTAGGCAGTTCAAACTTATTTTTTAAAGGGGAGAAATATTCCCCCCCCAAATTAAACTGAAAACATGGTACCAATACCAGAGAAAGATCTGATAGTCTTGAGCTGGAATTTAGTTTCCTTCCTAAGAAGCAATCATGCTTTGCCTAGTCTATTTTCATAAGAAAAAGTGAATTCCATATATTATATGCTTCCTTTGTCTTTACATATATGTACTGACGTTCAAACATGACACAAGTTTAGATAAATTAATAGTTATAAAATAAACCTTCAGGATTTAGTCATTCAGAGCGTGTTAAGACACTTCTATACAACTTTTTTTTAAATGGAAAAGATAAAGATTCAAGGAGTTACACTTTCTAACCAAGCACTTTACATGAATTTTGGTATTTACTAACTTAAGTACTCAAGGACTTGGTTTGAAGAGTCCAACAGACTGAAAGTCTGCTTTTCAAGAGTACTATGATCTTCTATCAATGGAGAGATTTTGGCATTTCTAAATTCTAATAGTTCACGATCTTTGCTTGATGTTAGTAATTCATTATCGACTACGCCAATAGCTGCATCTTCTACCAGAATATTTGCTTGGTATGCTCCAACTGGAATTTCAGGCAATCCAATGTAGTCATGATCTGCCACTACTGAACCTTGTAAGAGATAAAGACTGTCTGAAAGAAGAAACATCGTAAGTTCACCTTTTAGAATTACAATTAAACATCATTTTAAAATTAAACAATGTTAAATGAGGACAAAATCCCAAGTAACAAAAACTAACTCTAAGATTAACTTCTGATGGGTTCTCTTATCTACTAAATAAATATACATGTCAAAGGATGAATAAAATGATATATACATTTGACAGTTCATATATATATAGAGTTCAGGAAAGACCAAAGATTTTAAAAGAGCCAACTCTGGGGCGCCTGGGTAGCTCAGCTGGTTAAGCGGCTGCCTTCAGCTCGGGTCATGATCTCAGGGTCCTGGGATCGAGCCCCGCATCAGGCTCCCTGCTCTGCCTCAGCGGGAGGCCTGCTTCTCCCTCTCCCACTCACCCCGCTGGTGTTCCCTCTGTCTCTCTGTCAAATAAATAAAATCTTTAAAAATAAATAAATAAAAGAGCCAACTTTTCCTGTTCCCTTGATCTGTCTTTGGCAGGTATGTGTGAGGGGGTAAGAAGCAGCTGAAGATTATGGTAAAGATTAAAAGCAAAGTTATAAACCTCTATTTTTGATGACAGGTTTAAAATACTTTTGCAAGGCACTCCTGAGTCAATTAATGGGATATTGAAAGATATTTAACAAATTAAATCCTTATTGTAACTTTAATCTTCATAGAATCCATATTAGGACAATGTCACGTTGTTTGTAATTAGGACAATACTGAGTTGTTTATAATATGAAATTATAAACTAAAATAAAGATGAAGTTACTAGCATCAGGCTTATATGTAAGTAGGCAATTTAAAATGCTTAGCTTATTTAAGACAATTTAATACCAAAATGCTCATGAACTTTTAAGGTGGAGCTAAATTCATACTGAAATACCGAAAAAGAATTTCCCTTGTCAGCATTTTATTCTATTTTGAGCAAATTTATCATCACTATCAGGAAAAAAAAATGCTTAATATGAATGTTAAACAGATGGCAAAGCAGTAGCATCTTTATAAAAAAAGGTTAATGTATATAAAAGGATTCCTCCCTACGTGATACTTTAATTCATTACAACAAGGAACTCTTCCACCATAGATGATTAACTCCTGGACCCCTGCCTTCTCTTTCTGGATTTTCTCCCAAAACATTAATGATTCTCTTTAAGATTTTAATAGCTTAAAGAGCCCTCAAATTTTAAGTTCAAGAAATAGCAAAAGGAAGATTAATTGCCCATTAGATCAGAAATCAAGGGAAGTTTCTCAGAGCAGATAAATTTCCTAATAAACCCTGGAACACGATCCTATTCTACCCATTCTCGTACTATGTGAAAAGCTCACTGAACCTATTCCAATTCCGTAAGTTTACACACTTAAGAACTTTTGATTTAAAAACTTAAAAAGATCAAAGCCATGCTGCTCTCTACCCACAGATGGCCTAAGTGGACTTGGGTTTGTATGGACGTTCAGTTTTGCACATTTTGTTCTTCATTAGGCAAAGTATACTTGGTATTTTAGTTTTGAGAGGTTTTTCCAAGTTTTACCCCACCAATTCTTATTCATGCAAAAGTAGTAATTAGATTGAAAAAGATGGTAAGATATACATATTTATGATGAAAACAAAAGTATGGATAACTGATTTTTATGTTAGCATGGGATAAATTACTGGACAAGAGAACAATTCTGAAAGACAAAAACCAAATAACTCATGAGAAGTGTTATTGCCCAAGAGCAGCAAGAAGGAGCAAAAGCATGACCAATGCATTTGAAACACTTTTAGGATGCGTTGCAGGAGGTTCAACATCAAAGTTCACTTTTAGGTTCGTAATACTGGAGGAAGCTAGACACTAATATGTAAGAGAACTTTAAAAGGTTAGGTATGATAAAAGTATTGCTAATGAAATTTTTCAAATAAGCCATGGGAATTCCATATTTCAAGGCTTGCACAATGCTGCAAAGTATCGGTGACAGCAGATACCATAGATTTAAAGGTATTTCCAAAGATCCTTACAAAAATCTTTGATCAAGGAAGTTTCCAGTCTCAAAATTTTTTTTCCATACAGATAAAGCAAGTCTCTTGTGGAAAAATATGTCCAGTAAATATGTACCAATGGGGAAATATGCATAGACACAAAGCTCTTAGAAGTTGCCACTTTGATGCCCTGGAAATGCATTCACAGACCTTGAGCTTAAGCACCTCTTAGTTACACTAGACTTTGAAACAAATGGACTTTATCAACCTCACTTGTTTTTAAGAGGAGAGCTTCTATGTTTCATATATCTATATATGTGTATATGTCTTTATATAATACACATACTTCTCTTTTAAATGAGTGATAAATTTTAATGTACCTATTTAAAAAAAAGTACCTATTGTAATAAAACTGTAGAGAACAAGAACTACACCTGGCAAATTCTAAACAAATCACTTTATATGCAATGGAAAATTATTCTGGAGATTTCAAGCCTTGTTTGTGTAGGAAAAAAGCCCCCAAATTCTCATTCATTCAGAAAGGTCAAATGTGTTTCAACTCCTATTATGGTCTAAATCTACTGGAGCCAACAGAAATGCTCTTTAACATCCAAACAAATTACCAAAAATTATCAGGAAAGAGACTTTTGAGACCCTACACATATGATTAAATAATAATCAAATACACTAACTAGGTTATATCAAATATATTATTAAAATTATTTTCACCTATTTCTTTGTCCTTTAACATGGCTACTAGGAAACTTAAAATTATATTACTATCTGTTGGTCAGTACTGATGTAAGATAATCCTGAATTAGGGATATGAAAAAGAACAAGATAAATTTTGCCCCCTAGACAGAGAGAGAGGTAAACATACCATATTAAAGCATTTTTCTACTCAGTCATATTACATAATAAGCTTATTTTTTCATTCTATTAATTTAATTATCATTATGATATTTGTTTGATGAAAGCATTATTTCAGTTTTGACCAGGATGAATAATTAAGTCTTTAGGTTTTTACAAACGAAGGTAAGGTGTTATCAGCCATTTTGACTTGCTTTTCCTTATGTAGTTTTAAGGAGTAAAAAAATGAAATTAAGAAATAAATTTTTTAATTTCTCTAAGGAGAAAAATAGGTTAAAATTAAAGTCTCAGAAAAGTCAGAGTGATTCAGATTAATTTATTTTATCAAACATAAAGAAAAGTACACGGTTTTTGAATACTAAATTTTCTTATTCTGAAAAGAGGTGACCAGACTAATTCTATACATAGCCTGATAATCCTAAAACTATTAGAATGTATTGCCACACTAGTATACCCATCCTTTCTTATGACAAAGCAACAAATAACTGTTATTTGATAGTAAATAATTGTCACTATAATAGATAACCAATACTAACAACAGAGAACTGAATGACTCTCAGTTTAAAGATTATACAACTAAGAGTCCAAAGGAAGGCTCTTTGGATAATTATATTAATAATAAAGTAAAAACCATGGGCTTAATAATAAAGAACTAAGATTTATTTTGTTTCATGAATGCACACCATAATTGTGGTAGGGAGAATAATGGGCCCCTAAAGATGTCCAGGTACTAAAACTCCCTGGAAATGCATTACCTTACATGACAAAGGAGAATTAGAGAAGTGATGGAATAAGGTTGATAACCAGCTGACCCTAAAACAGGGAGATTATCCTGCATTATTCAGGTGGGCCCAACAACAAGGGTCTTTTAACTGTAGAAGGGGGAAGAAGAGAGAAGGCTGCAGTGACTGTGATGTGAGGAGGACTCTAGCTGTCATTGCTGGCTTTGAAGACAGAGGCAGGAGACCACAAGCCAAGCAGTGTGGGCCGCCCCTAAAAGTTGGAAAAGGCAAGGGAACAGGTTCTTTTTTAGGGCCTCCAGAAAGGAACACAGCCCTACCAATGCCTGATTTTAGCTCAGTAAGACCTATCTATGTTGGAATTCTAAGCTATAGAACTGTAAGACCTGTTTTAAACCATTAAATTTATGATAATTTGTTATGGTATCAATAGGAAACTTATAAAATAAGGAAAACCATCTCAGAAACTGTCAAGGGCAATCAGCAGACAGAAATCTATCACAACTCCTATCCAAAACAAAACAATAAAACTACTCAAAATCTTTATTAGACAGAATAATGAGTCAGTAATATTTTTCTTTTCAGAGGGGAACATTATGATTACAAAGAGATATGATGGTATGTCCTAAAACTTACTAAAATAATTAGTCTTAAAAAAGTACCTGGCATTGAACTACACAAAATGACATAGGCCTGCTTAAAATAGCAGAGAGAAATACTGTAGACCTAGTACTGAATGTGCTCCCTCTAAGTTATGCTCTAGATAAGAGTGGATAAGTGGTTGGCAACAGAACCTTATCTGCTTTGGACAGTGAGTCTTTAAAACAGCTACGAGATCTCACAGCTGGTATAAGAGTAGCAATGACAAGTACAGACAGACAAATTCATAGTTCTTTTGGCTATACCTCTTCCAAATTTATGTCAAATGAAAGAATAGGATTTAAGACATTCAAAGGCATTTAGTTTGCTTTACACTTAGTTCAAGGATTCTTTAAAATCAGTTCTGAGGCAAAGATTTTCAGGATAATATGTGATACTGAAGAAAAAGATGGCAGAAATCACATTTATTTTGAATTTCTCCAAAGAAAAGAAATACAAAATAAGGAACAAATAGTAATCAAGAACAAGATTCCAGGATGGCCAGGTCACACTTCCTTTGGTTAACAAGAAAACACAACTTTACCCATCTATCTCAGTTTCTTACATGTACTGGTACTAATATTATAATTTCCTTTATATTACTGGAAGAAATATGTGCAGAGAATTCAAGCATGAGGGAAAAATCAGACTGCCTCTGTTTAGAAACTGTTCTCCTCAGTTGGATTCTGAAATATGCAGGAGTAGCAAAATGTTTGGCCTCCTTTCTGTGAAAGTCTCTGGCAAGAGCAAATTGCAAAATGTTGAAGTAAATCCTGATACAGCAACATTCTAAATGTAAATTTTGTATTAATTAAGGAAGGCTAACACATTAGAAGGCATTGAGTCCTGAATGCTAAGGTTAGAGAGAAAATCTTGCTAGAGAAGAAAGGACAACATGTACCTGTATAATCTTTTTCTCTTCTACTTAACTTACATAAGACAGAAATCATAAAGGTCAGCTCAGTACTGAGAAGAAATATAAGGAATGAAAGTGCCGATCTTCCAACAAAGAGAATTAAGCTACTGTGAGCTTTCAGAATTAGAACAGTCCAAGGTAAGTTTACTAATAGAGCAATCAGGCTGTCACAAGCAGAAGGAAAGGTAGGAAGAGTTTTCAACTTGAGAGTTTTGATCCAGATCAGAAGCAACGTTGAGCTATTTACTGAGCAGCCCCCAAGGGCTTTTTTATCCTAAAAAAATATGGTAAGTATAAATATTATTACTGTTGCTCTTGTAATATTCACTTATGCCTGTTAAATAACTCAGTTGTTTAAAAACGTACTAAATTCATCTTTCACTAATTGTTACTCATATTCAAGTATTATTGATGCTTTATTTTTCTTTATAGGAAAAGCAAAATTAACTTGGCTGAGGTACCAATTCACTCCCTTTCAGTTAACCACCCCAGAGAAACTCTAGGGATCAATTACAATAGGATAGAATAAAACAGTCTCCATTAAGTGGGATTTAATCTGAAAGCCACAGCAAAACGTCATTTATCTCTTAATCTCTGAAAGAAAGGGTTAAAGAAATCAGAATATCCTTCTGACATTTCAAAACCACATCTGGGGGCAAGTATAACCTTGTTCAGGCTATCGCCTCTTCTTATAACACCTTATAGCATTCTGGTTACACCGCACCCTACACCCTCCCCTCCATCTACCATGACCTGACTATGGCATAACACCAAAAATTAATCACTTTTTTTAAAGTTCCCTAGTATATTTATCTCACAACAGAATTCTGGATAGTATGTTTGGTTTTGGTATCATTTATCTCAGTTGATATTTTCTCAAGTTAAACCGAGACACAAAGTGACAAAATATTGTGAAAGTGAAAATTGAGAAGATATAATTCTTCCTTCTGTGAAACAGGTCTAGCATCTCCTACATGAACTGTGGCATCAATGTGTGAAAAGTACCCTAGAAATCAGAATAAGATCTCTTACAAGCCTGACAGTTTCAGAAGAGTCATTCTAATTAAACAGAATACCTGAGATCTAAAATTATACCACATTTTATAAAAATGAGAAGACTTTTCCCTTCTCATTTTTATAAAATGTGGTATAATTTTATAAAATATTAGTAAAACCTAACTAAGAGAAGGGTTTTGGCTGGGTTGGGGGTGGATTCTTATATTATTTTTAACTTCCCTCCTCATTCACACAAAGTAAAAATGTAAAGAAATGGCAGATGCTTACCTTGTTCACTGGACTCTCTTACATAGGGCTTAAGGTGGGACATTTTGATAGGTCTTTTAAGTCGAGTCCCAGTGTTGTCTCTCAGAATAGCACATCCACTTTCTGTAATATAGTCTATGACACAAGGTCCAACCCATTCAGACTGGAAACGACCGTCCTTCCACCAATTTTTCCTTTGTCTTAAAACTTCATGACCCACTTTTAAATGAAATGGATTTAATTGCTTTGCTTTCTTTTTAACAATGATTTTGCTTTTATTCAGTTCATCAGGATTGTTGTTCTCCATCTACAAGAGCAAAATAAAAGAGAGGACAAAGGGATGAAAGAGCTGTAGTTTCTTGAAAGTAAATGCAGATAACAAGATGGTTACTTACTGAGATACTAATACAAAGCACGAATGAATCCCATTTAATCCTGAAAGTAGTATTTCAAAACTAGTATCATTACCCCAACCTTACAAAGAAGTTAAATGGAGAAAGGTTAAGTAATTGGCCTAAATCAAACCACTGGAAAGCAACAAAATCAGGAATATGAATTCAGCTCTACTTGATTGCAAAGAACAAAGTTTTCCCATTACTGTCTCTCAGAATTTTAGAGCTAATAAGCACACTGCATAATCAAAACAAAAGCAGAATTTAACAGAAAAAAATTTGGCTTAGTATATCGTATTATACCATATGTGTGTGTGCATCTGTGTGTGTGTGTGCATGCTGAAAATTTTAAAATTACTTCATGGATTTTTAGATTATAGAGTTTTCTATTAAACAGAATCACCTGTCCTGCTGAAGTTGTCTTATTCTCCATTATTTTATCAGCTTCTTTAATTGCACCTAAAATTTTGGCAAACATACTTGTATCATCACCATCCACCTCATGAAGAACATCTGAAGTCTCAGGCATATAAGGATTGCGATTAAACATTTGAAAATATGGTGTATTTTTAGAAGGCTCCTATTTTAAGGAAAATGGAAAATGATTTGTAATAAATTATTTATGTAGCCAAGAAACAGTCATAACTCAAAAGTACAGAATTATAAAGACACATACCAAGTGAGTTACATTGAAGGCAAATGAAATGGCTGATAGGTGATCATCCCAGTTGTTTGGGTGGTCAGCACAGTGTTTAGAAAGAAATGCTTTGATTGTGCTAGGTGTACTTTCAGTTGGATTAACAGTTTGGGAGGTATGAGAAATTACAATTTGCTTTGTGCCAAACAATCCACACAGTTCAACATTGATCTGAAAAATATATAAAAGTTGACTTTAAAATTCGTATTTTATGACCATGAGATCAGGATTTGAGCTTGACTGAAAGGTTTCAAAAGAATCTGAATCTTGCCTTTTTCATTGAACCATACCCATTCTATATAAAAGCATACATACCATATTTAAAATAGCAATTACCATTTATTGAGTCCTTACTATCTACTGGTCAATACACTAGATGCTTTACATTACTGTCGTTATACCTTACAACAATCATGAATTCTCATTAACCCCATTTTAAAGATAAGAGGCTTTGGGAGGCTAAGTGCCTTGCCAAACATACATATACAGCAAGGAAATGGAAGAACAGAATTTAACACTAACTCTGAGTTCATATAACATTTTAATTCAGCAATTTCTCAAATAAACACTAGGTCACATAATCCAGTTAATAGTTACGTGACTTTGGCAGGTAACTAAACTTCTGTGTACTCAGTTTCCTATCTGTAAAATGAGGAAGACCCTACCCAGGACCCTTTTCAGAATTATATGAGTAGATGTTTGTAAAGTACCTAAAACAGTTATTGGCAAGTATTAAGCACTTTATAACTTATAACGTTACTATTATTGTTGTGGTTATATTTACTATCTGCAGGGCCTAAAAAAAGTCAAAATGAGTTTAGAAAACTTCAAACAGTAAGCCTATAAAATGTAAAATAACTTATTTTTCCTACCTTATGCCTCAGATTATTTTTTATTATTATTTTTAACTGGGTAAACTTTTGGTTAATAAATTTGTCTTTTAAAAGATTGTATTCTTATTGCCTAATTGTAAGAAGACAAGTAGTATCACAGTAACTAAAAAGGTAAAGCTAATAAAAAACCCACCAAAACCAAAACCACATTTCCCAAGCTTCCTTGTAAGAAAGGAGTAGTCATGTGATATAGTTTTGGTCAAAAAGATATAAGTGGAAGTTATTGGGCTTTTAAAAGTTGTTGGGTAGACTCAGCTGCTACTAGGTATTTTTATCTATTGTCCTCCCCATTCTTTCTGTCTGAAATATAGATTTTTGTGGCATGGGCTCTGGCAGCCATATTGTGAACCTAAGACTGAGAGTCACATCTCAAAGATGGTGGAAGAGAAAACTAGAAGCATGGGTTCCCAAAGACATTCACGTTACTCTTCCAACCTTGGACAGCCTGACCTTCTTTCACCTTTTGGAGTTTATATATTGGGCACGAGAAGAGTTCTCCTACTTGCAGCTAATACAGTTCCTAGCTGATATATGTACTAATTTAGGCTGCCACCTTTGAAACTTAAAAAAAAAGATTTATTTATTTATTTGAGAGAGAGCACGAGTTGGGGAGGGGAAGGGAGCAGAGGAAGAGGGAGAGAATCCCAAGCAGACTCAGTGCTGAGCAGAGCCTGACGTGTCCCATGACCATGAGATCAGGACCTGAGCTGAAACCAAGAGTGGGATGTTTAACTGCGCCACCGAGGTGCCCCTTCTTTTAATCTTTTAACTCAAAAGTAGTTAAAGAGATATCTTTAAAAAAAAAAAAAAAGAAGGGAAAAAAAGAAATCCTAGAGGGGCACCTGGCTGGCTCAGTGGGTAGAGCATGCGACTCTTGATCTTCAGGTTGTAAAGTTCAAGCCCCACATTGGGTATAGAGATAACTTAAAAATAAAATCTAAAAAAAAAAAAGAGAGAGAGAGAGAGAATTAGTATCATTTGAGTCAGCCTCAATCTGAGGTCTTAGTCAATGCTTTTAAACGACTGAACTCTGGAAAAGGGTCAAACAGTTTCTTTGTTTCAAGAGGTTGTTGCCTAGGAATGATCCAGTGAATTCATTTGTGGGATGCCCGCCTGATATCCTAACCCCAGAGCCTTTTTTTCTCCCATCAAACCAGACATTCTATTAGTTGTTACAATTTTGGTTTTCCATAGGACCTATTTTTAAAATCAAAGAAGTAGATTTTCCTTTGGAAACATTTATTTTCTTTCCTTTAGAGTTTTACAAAAAGTCTGTGCACTTTACTGAAACACCTGTATTTTCATCCAACTGTGTTTGTAATACACACACTGTATGCATCCACATTGTAATATTCTAATCTTATTTCAACACTTCAGCAGTGTTTGGTACGTTTTTGCTGACAAAAGAAAACATATCATTTTGTCACCATTATGCTAGTATTTAAGCCATTTACATCACAGCAAAAAGAACAAATTTTCTCAATCATTTGTGATTTTTAGGTTTTTTGCTATTAAACTTCGCAAAAGAGGCTTATAAATATTTACTGTTACCTTTGGTAAAATTTCCAAAGTCCTGGATTATCACATGACTTTAAACATAACCGGAAAAACTGGTGATTCATAATAGCTTCATACTGTCATTATTTTTATCTCTAAGCACTTTATGCACTTAGGGTGAGGCTTTTCATTAGATATGGTGGATGCAAATCAATATTTCAAATCAGTTTCTGTTTATTTTGAATTTTGGTGACCAATTTCCTATCAGATCTAATGAGTTCATATTTGTTTTCATCTCATTAAAGTCTCTATAAAAGAACTAGTACCAGAAGTTAAGTAGAAGTGTCAGTTCTATCATTTTCTTGTGGCTGATAGGTAATTGCATTATTAGTATTATCTTGTTCTCACTGTAAGAAACTTAAGCCACCTGACTATTCCATGAGGAGTAGTTTGGTCAAAACTAGATGATATTCAGAAATGCAATTACTACTGAAAACCAAGAATGAGCAAGGGAACTACTATAAACCTCTTTTATGTTGTGGATTCTTACTCTTTTTTCACGATACCTTCATATAGCATGTGTAATGTACAATCATCTGCCTTGTCAATCCGGGATGCTATTAATCATCTCTACACATTATTAGCAAAACATCCTTTCTTTCTTATTTATTAGATAAAAAAGAAATATAAGCAGAAGTTCTAACACTGTTATCCCAAAAACTGGATTTTTTCATACACCTCATTTTGACCACTGCTGTGTCAGTCAAGGCAGGCAAGATTATGTGATAGTTACAAAACACACAAGTCTCAGCTTTAATGCAAAAACTTTACTGCTTGCTCCTATGAACTTGACTATGGGTCAGGGTATCTCTTCAAGGCAACTATTCTTGACTACGTGCCTCAGTAATTCTAGATGAGAGAAATTCCACCACCCTATAATGTAATATCTGGAATGTTCAGTCAATTCCCCAGAGAAAAAGTATTATTACTATTTTTGTTTTTCAGATAAGTTAAAATGGTCTTAATTTGCAATATTCATTCCTATTTAATTTGAACACTTTTCCACGTTTGTTATTTATTTTTTACAGATGTACTTATGGGGGGGGAGCGTGCCGTATGTGCGAATGCATGGGAGCTGGAGGGAGGAACAGAGAGGGAGAGGGGCAAGCAGACTCCGTGCTGAGCACAGAGCCAACACGGGGCTCAAACCCAGGACCCTGAGATCATGACCTGAGTGAAATTAAGAGTCAAATGCTTAATCAACTGAACCACTCAGGGGCTAGGAACTTGGGGTTTTGGGGAGGGTTTCCATCATTCCCTGATATAGATGGCTCACAGTGCTTAAACTATACAAACAAGGTAGTTTATGCTGAACACCTTTTTTCCTTTAGGAATCTAGGATTCTGGTACAAGCCACACAGAGGGTGCCTTTGTGACCAGCTCGTAGTAAAAATCCTAGGCACTGAGGGGCGCCTAAGTGGCTGTTGGTTAAGCATCTGCCTTCGGCTCAGGTAATAATCTTGGGGTCCTGGGATTGAGCCCCACATTGGGCGATCTGCTCAGTGAGGAGTCTGCTTCTCCCTCTCACTTTCCCTCTGCACTCTCCCTCTCTCTCTCAAATAATAATAATAATAATAAAAGATTAACCTTAAAAAAAAAATCCTAGGCACTGTTGTCTCTAATGAGCTTCCCTGGTAGATAACATTTTACATGTGTTTGCTATAACTCCTTGTTAACAGAATTAAACATGTCTGGCTGTGTCTGATTTTTTTCTTATACCAGTACTGTGTAATTATGAAAATTTAAAAATATGCCTTAAATGTCATAGTCACTATTCCTTTTTTAGAATTTTCATATATATTCTTGCTTGCATATTCTTTCAAGTTAACTTTAATCTGGAAAAAGGTGAGGGCAAGAAATAAGCTCCCTCCTTATTAATGCTGATTAGAAATTAATTACATAAATTAATTTTGATTTGGGAAAAATCAATACCTTTCAATATTGAATATTCTCATTCATAAACATGATATATTTCTCCATTTAGTCAATTCTCCCTCTATATGTCAATCATGGAATTTTTTTTTTAGGATTTTATTTTTAAGTAATCTCTACACCCAACGTGGGGCTTGAACTTACAACCCTGAGATCAAGAGTCACATGCTCTACCCACTGAACCAGCCAGCGGCCCCCAATCACAGAATTTTTAAGCTAGAAATAAACAAGGATTATTTGGTCCAACTTCCTCATTTTAGTTTTAGGAAACCTGAAGACAGACTTACAATTACTTAGTTGCACAATTAATACAAAAATCCTGGTCTTTTAGTTTCCAGTCCAGCTACCTTTGTGCTATACAATATTAAACTTCTACACCTGTAGCAATTTATATAAACTTACTAAGAACCCTATAATGCAGAGGTGTGCTAGGCACTGAAGGTAAGTAAAATATGCTCCTAGACCCAACTAATTATTTGTCTTACCTCATGAATGAACTCTTCTCTTTGGTCCATTATTATTTTCTGAGGTGGTCCATATAAGAAAAATATATTGATAATAGCTTTAGAAATTTCTGATGCTGAAACATCACAGAGAGGCAAAATCACAACCCATTTTGTGAACAAATCTGTCATGATTATAGTATAAACATTACTTCTGTTGCTTGCATGAAATGGGCCCATCAGATCAACAGTAACTATACTCCATGGATTCTCCACCTTGAGAAGGTGCTGTTTAGGTGCTAGAATAACTGTATTTTTTGCCACTTGGCAATGCTGACAAGCATATACCTACAAAACAGGCACACAATAACAAAAAAATATATAGATGTTAATATATTCAACATAATAAAAGCAGTCTTATAAATATGAAGTTTTTATTAAAATTGTTAATAGTTACTTTGTTTTGAAGGAGAAACTTTTAGACTATTCTCAGAATAGAATAAAACCTTCTGTTCAGAATAATAAGCAAATATGACTTGCTATTACAATCCACTGACTACTTTAAGGGGTCTTATTCACATAGAACATAATTCTAGTTTACATTCAACTAATATTTATTATGTAAATAAATCTTAAAACCAATTTCTTACATCAAATTTGTTATATTTTTAAGTATCTGAACACACAATAATTTCTGTAAGTAAAAGATTTTTTCTTTTGAAGTTATCATTCCTTTTTTTTTAATTTTATTTTATTATGTTATGTTAGTCACCATACATTACATCGTTAGTTTTTGATGTAGTGTTCCATGATTCACTGTTTGCGAGTAACACCCAGTGCTCAATTCAATACGTGCCCTCCTTAACACCCATCACTGGGCTAATCCATCCCCCCCCACCCCCTCCCCTCTAGAATCCTCAGTTTGTTTCTCAGAGTCCGTAGTCTCTCATGGTTCATCTCCCCCTCCGATTCCCCCCCCTTCATTTTTTCCTTCCTACTATCTTTTTTTTTTTAACATATAATGTATTATTTGTTTCAGAGGTACAGGTCTGTGATTCATCAGTTATCATTCTAATAAATTCATTCATTGATCTATTTCAACAGTATTTATTAAAACATAATTTTATTAAAAAAATACTTACAGATGCCAGAAATTCCTCAAGGTCCCAGGAAAATAGAACAAAAATAAAGCCCATGCTGCCATGGAGCTTTTAATGTGAGTGGGATGAGAACTGATTACCATATGGATGGTGCCAATGCTCAACATATTTCTAGAATTCCACTTTGGAAACCACTTTCAAACCAACTTGTGAACAAAATTTTATAAACTCTCTTTGTATTAGTTACTTTTAATCAAAAGTTTTATTGTCCAATTTATGTAATAGCTTTCATCATAAATAACTTCTATTTCCAAAAATCATATCCATTCTCAAATGATAAAGATTTGACAAAGATCAAAGGAATGTGTGGCAGGTTCTAAAGGCAAATACAAATATTGAGGTCATGCAATACACGCACAGACTACAAACTGATAACTTACAAACGCTATTTAAATGTTGGTTTAATTCTTTATATCTGAAATGACAATCTTTCGATATACTATTATAATTATTAAAAGGATCTCACATAGATACCAAGTCATATAGAATACACTAGAAAGAGTAGGGATCAGATGATCTACCAGTAAGAATACCAGAATTCCTAGATGAATATCCTATAAGAAGCTGAAGGTTGAAATAAGTTATAAAGTTACAAAACTCAGACTAATTTCATCGTTTTTACAACTTGATTTTGCCTTTAGTTGGTTTTGGGTCTCTGCCACATTTGACATTTTTTGTATCAAGATGAGATATGCACAAATGAAGAGAGCACACACTGGACCTGACCTATGAACAGATTCTCCTCTCAAGAAAAGATTATATGACTGCCTCAAATAGGTAATCATTTAGTCAAAGGAATTTCAGCCCCATTTGAATTCTGCGATACAAAAGAGTTCAATGATGAAAATCTGTTTATAAATAATCTATTTAAATATGCTGTTTTTCAAATATTTAAATAATGTTTTAGTTCAAATTATACTTTAGTGATTTTAAAGTATTCTGAAAAACTGATTTCTTTTTTTTCCTTTTTTAGAGAGGGAGGCGGGAGGGGAAGAGGGAGAGAGAGAATCTTAAGCAGGCTTCATGCCCAGTGCAGAGCCCGAAGTGGGGCTCTGTCTCACAACCCTGAGATCATGACCTGAGCTGAAATCAAGAGTTAGGCGCTTAACCGACTGAGGGACCCAGGCCCCCAAAGGAGAATTCTGATGGGAAGTAAAACTCCTTTTAAATGTTTTTGTACAAACACTACCCATACAAAAAGTACTTAACAAGAGGTAATATCCAGAGTAAATGTGGAGTAATAATGAATTTTGGATATCTACTACAAAGGTATTATTTAAAATATTCTTAATATATAAGCCATACCCACTGTTTGACATCATTGGTCACAGAAGTCCAGTAATAATTGGATTCCACTAGAGTAAGGGTCCTGGATATGCCATGATGAGCTCCAGTGTCATTTTCATGGCATTCTCTTAAGACTTTCTTTTTTTCTTCTTCTGAAACAATTACCAAACGATTTTGTTTTCTGTCTTTTCCAACATAAAACAGCTTTTTTTCTGGAATAAATAATAACAAAAAGACATGACTGCAATTTTTAGAGATCAGTATAATTTTAAGATAATCTAATCAAAGCCTTATCATCAAACCATTATGGTTTTTAAAAATCTTTTTCCCTCTAAGATAGAATATTTATTTGTAATGCATCCATACAACCTGAAAGGTCCTCAGCTGTTATGCTTACTTGATATGTAGGAGGATCACCAGTTGCTATAATTTTGTAGCTATCTATACCAGTGGAGGTAGTTTATTCACCAAAACATGTGATAACTATAGGAGTATGAAATTATCTTTCTATGGGAGTACTCAAACTGGAAAAATACTTGCAGGCATCTCCTAAAAATGGCATGAATTAGCAGATGAATTATGTACAGGTAAGCAACTTCTGGAACAGAATTTTCCAAAATAGTGTTTCACCATAACTTACATTTTTGTAAGCAACCACACTGTTAAGTTTTTCTAGATTTGAACAGGAGGTGAGATTTGTAAAGCAGGAAAGTAAGAGAACCTTAATCCTTAAGACAGTTCTCTGTTTTCCTTTGGAGGGCACCTGAGAAGAATCCACCGCTGGAAAGCAACTGAGGTAGGGAAAGAATCACTATCTCTCCAGTGTGGATGAGGCAGCTATTCAAACTCCAAACACAGCACTAAGTTACTAATGTGTTTAATTAAGCATATGCTGAGTGAAACATTCCTTCCTTGAATTAGAAGGTAAGCAACTTAAAGGAAGGAACCTTATCTACCTTATCCATCAGTGTATTAGGCCTAAAATGTGACTGACACCCAGTAAGAACTTGGTAAAAATTTGCCGCATAAATGTTTAAATAAATAAATGAACGAATGAATCATAACTTTATTAAGAAGTAATAGGTGTACTTATGAAGTATAAAGGAGTTATAGGAAGGGGTATACACAGAGAGATATGAGGAGGTATTTATATATTATTTTAAAGGCTTCTTGAACTGCTTTTCAGGAAGCATGATTTTATACCTAGAGGCAAAACTCCCATTAATTAATAGCACCAACATTCATTTAGTTGTCTGGTGATCTAACTTCTGGCTTATTTCATCGCAAACTTCTCTTCCCTTTGAAGGAAGAGGAGAAAGAAGGAAAAATTACCATAATCTTTCAACATAAATTTTCTATTGCCTTTCAAATATTTAATCCATTCGGGGGATTAGGTATCCAAAAATGAATGTGATCCTGAAAATATCTGATGGCGGGGAGACCACAGAAATAAATATGGTAAAAAGTTAACGTCAACATTTTCATAACAGCATCAAATAAGCTCTTCATCGATAGTGACATAAGTGCTAGAAAATGCCATTAAAGTAGGAACTACCTGAGGACAAGAGCATAAGAGGTTAATTTAGGTGAGTGTTTTTTTTTTTCATGGTATCATTTTCTGTCTATGACTTAAAATTCCCTTTTCATGCTTACTGGCATTCAGTTAGCTTCACTGTGATTTTTATTTTGCTTTTGACTGAGTGGCATCATCAATTACACCGGTAATTGTTAAGCAACAGTAAGTTACTGCAGAAAATTCTCAGTATTCCACAAAGAACACATGGAAAAGCATCTATAATAATGCTACACTTGGGGCATAAACGTTACCTTTGTCTTTTTTCTTTCTTTTTTTTTAGAGAGAGAGAGAGAGAGCAGGGGTGGGGAGAGGGAGGTTAGTGGGAGGAGAGAGAATCTTAAACAGGCTCCACATCCAGCCCAGAGCCCGACACCTGGCGCCATCTCAGGACCCTGAGATCATGACCTGAGCCAAAATCAAGAGTCGGATGCTTAACCAACTGAGCCACCCAGGCACCCCAGTGTTACCTTTGAAGATAAATTTTTTTGCTGCTCTTCTTATGCCACTTCTTTCACTTGGTAGTGTAGTTGGATGATATTCACCAGTTCGTTTATAATATGCAATCTGTTTAAGATGAAGGTCACCATTTTTTCCACTACGGACCATCATGAAACTAGGTAAAAGATATTTAAAGATATAATTTAAATGATAAGCTCATTTAGTTGCTATTTCAGTTCAGGCTTCTGTCATATTTCTGCTTACATATCAATTGAACATTCCCGGAATATTATCTGTGATGGAGATAAATATAGTACAGAAAAGGAACTGTGTGATGTATAATGAACTAAAATATTCAAAAGCTATTTTTGAGATATATCATGACACATTATCTTGTCTCTTTCCATGTGAAAAGAAATGTTGAAAATTTTCCACATACTGGGAAAAAACAAAATAAATAATTACACTTTAAAAAGTTTTGCTTAAAGTCTCTCACTACCATCAACTGAAATGTTACTTACATAGAATGGTTCTGTTGTGACATTTAAATACATGATAGGTTATAAAGGGGAGAAATAGTTTTTTTCCTTCTAAATACATTCATGGTCATTGCAAAATGCCAAAAAAAAAAAAAAAGTCCAAGTAATTTATGAAAAAGATTTTGGAAATGTTTAAATGATAAATGACAGAGAAGATATTTAGCTATGCTATTTCTCATATACTCTTCTGAACTACATATAAGCTGCTTTTTTTTTTAATAGAAATGATTTTTGGTACTGTACATATTTTCTCTATATTATAAAGAAAACTCTGGCCACACTGGCAAAAACAAAACAAAATAAAATTTGTCTATTTTAGACCATAAATTATATGGAAAACCATTAAGTTAAAAAGAAAAAAAGCCCCTTTCGTTCATATTTTTAGGTGAAAGAAACTATTCTGTGCAGATTATTCTGTTTGCCACCACCCCCACCCATCCAGATCAATTTCTGGCTTTTCTTTCCCTGCCACTGTGCCCTAGAAACTATAAATGTAGAATAAACTACATTTATAGTTTTCTGATTAGGCTTGTCCAGTGGGAGGTACCAGGAGGCAAATCAGAATGCAGAAGAGGTCAGGATATTTATTTCCCAGGTCCTTCCTCGGTTTAGGCTGCAACCCTCTACAACTACAGTTCCTCTTGAGTAGCCCATCTTCCATGTCTCTAGTTCTCACTGGAAGTCTATAACATCATTTCTTCTTTTTGCTAATTCAGGGGCACTATTCCATCATTAGTCCCTACTGTTACTAATCTCCAGGGACCACAGTGATTTCTTTGACCCTATTCTTTGGTCTTTAAATAGGAACTTCATTAAATTTTCTTCAAATTTCCAGGGAATGTATCTTCTGTTTGCTTTTTTGTTTTTTTAAGACTTTATTTATTTATTTGAGAGAGAGAGAGAGATAGCGAGAGAGAGCATGAGCAGGGGGGTGGGGGTGGAGGGAGAAGCAGGCTCCCCGCTGAGCAGGGAGCCCAACTCACAATCCCGGAACCCTGGGATCATGATCTGAGCCGAAGCAGACGCTTAACTGAGAAAGCCACCCAGGTGTCCCTATCCCCTATCTTCTGTTTCCTACCAGGACTCTGACACAAATGCTTAAAATTTTTAATTTCTAAAAACAATATTGATGTTTACTGATCACTAGAAGATCTAGGGATGAGGCTACAAGAGAGTATTACTGCAGAGGGAATGTTAGAATAAAAAAGAATAGACTGTGCCTAGGAACCTATGGCTTAAATAGCCTATTAGGTCTCTTCCCCTATGATACAGCACTTTCCACATTCAATAACCATCTTTCTGATCTTTTCATAACTTCCAGTGAGGATATCAGTACATTTATAATATCTCTTGGGTCAGCATAGTGTAAGCTATTTTATGGTATATATAGAGATCTCTTCAACAGGACAAAAAAAAAACACTATTCTTAGAAGAAAAATTTTAACAAATTGTACTTCATCAAAATCACAACCTGTTCAAGAGACATCTTTAAGGAAAGGAAAAGGTAATCACAGACTGGCAGAAGATATCTTTAATATATATATACCTAACAAAGGACTAATACGCAGCATATATAAACAACTGCAAATCAAAAAGAAAATGATAAAAACCCAACTTAAAAAATGGGAGTAAAATCTTACATGGCACTTCAAAAAAAAAAAAATCCAAATGGTTAATAAGCAAGTGAAAATGTGCTCAACATCATTACTCCAAAAAGCAAATTAAAAAGTCATAATTTTTGTAACTACACACTCTCAAAAAGGGTAAAATTAAAAACAGACAACGCTAGCTTAAGGACGGGTAACAAATGAAACACTTATACATGGTGGGAGTGCAAAAGGCTAAAGCTACCTTCGAAAATTGAGTTTCTTCTAACTAAAAACTTGTCTACCCTAAGGACTTGACAAATCTACTTTCAAGTTTATACCTCAGTGAAATGAATACATGACTATCAAAAGATGTGTACAAAAATGTTCATAGATTTTTTGTAGTCATGATAACCCCTAACTGGAAATAGTAAAAGCATCGAGAGATTTTACTATGTATACACTCAGTCCTTGTCCCGTGGCCCTGTTTTCAAGTTCCATGATGCTCTAAATCTTAGTTCTTTTCAAACTGTCTTTGGTGAAGTACACCATTCCCCCTGACCCCCACCACCCACCCAATCTGTCACAGAAGACCTCTTGATGGCTTTACTTTAATGTCATCTTCATTATGGTTTTTCCCCTGCCAAATGATTCTATGGCAAACTTCCACACTTCATCAATTTTCATTTTAGGAAAACTTGTGTGGTATCAAGTAGGGAATACAGACTATACAGACTACCTAACCATTTGCCTGCCTGTCACTCTAGCTCTGTATTAAACCTCCTCAACTCTTAAAACAAATCAACAAGTAAAAATTGTTTTTTATCCTATTTTCAACTCCAGGGTACACTGACACAAGCTCTTCCAAGTCCAAGGGAGAGAAAGAAGTGTCCTTTCTCATTTTATTTTTTTTTAAGATTTTATTTATTTATTTGACAGAGAGAGAGAGAGAGACAGCGAGAGAGGGAACACAAGCAGGGGGAATGGGAGAGGGAGAAGCAGGCTTCCCGCTGAGCAGGGAGCCCGATGTGGGGCTCGATCCCAGGACCCTGGGATCATGACCTGAGCCGAAGGCAGACACTTAACGACTGAGCCACCCAGGCGCCCTTCTCATTTTATTTCTCAAAGATTTTTATCTTTAAGTAATTTCTACACCCAACATGGGACTCAAACCCACAACACCCAGATCAAGAGTCACATGCCCCACTCACAGAGCCAGCCAGGCACCCTGCCATTTCTCATTTTAGATTAAATCACTAGGGTCTATATTCTGTAAAATACATGACCCCAAATTATTATTTTCTGTGAACGGCTTTTGGAACCAACAATGTTCTAAACCATCTAAAAGAAAACCTTGAAACATCCCATCCTGTTAGACAGCAGCTGAGCATGGTTATCTGGAGGAAGAAGTGATTTAACAAATAAGATTAAAATCCTTTATTGACTCCCTTTCAGAGATCAGTAAAGGTTACAAAACCTGAAGGACCTTAAAAAGACAAGGCCTTTTCAGGCCTATAAAAAGCCTCCAGGAGCAAAACACTAAACTCATACCTTAGAGAAAACACTAGGTCCCATAAAACATAGGGGTATAGGTAATTGTAACTGGCATTAAAAACCTGGCTATTGGACAACATGAATCTCTCCCTAAACCACACTGATGTCCATTATTTTGCTCCTATACTTAAAAACTTCTGTCTTTTAAGTTCCCCCAACTGTCCCCTCCAATTCTCTAGGGTGTCTTAGTCCATTTGGGGTGCTATAACAATATACCATAGACTGGGTTGCTTATTAACAACAAACATTTATTTCTCACAGTTATAGAGGTAAAAAGTCCAAACACAAGCTGGCAGATTCACTGTCTGGTGAAAATTTGCTTCCTGGTTCATAGATCACCTCTTTGCTTTCTCTTCACATAACAGAAGGTGCTGGAGAGCTCTCTGACCTCTCTTTTAAAAGTGCACTAATTCCGGGGCGCCTGGGTGGCTCAGTCGGTTAAGTATCTGACTCTTGATCTCAGCTAAGGTCTTGATCTCAGGGCTGTGAGTTCAAGCCTCACCTTGGGCTCCATGATGGGCATGGAGACTACTTTAAAAAACAACAACAACAATGAAGGGTACTAATTCCATTCTTGAGGGCTCCATCCTCATGACCTAATCACTTTTCAAAGGCATCACCTCTAAATACCATCACACTGATGGTTATGATTTCAACATACAGATTTGTGGGGGGGGTGTGTGTGTTTGTGTGTGAGGGGAGGGACACACAAACATTCAGTCTATAGCACTGGGGATACCAGAAAATCTTTTCTCTAATTACTCAATATAAGATGAAGCCCTCAGTACATTCAAGAATCAAGTGCTATTAGGATACTCTTGGCTGTCCTACCTAAAATACGTGAACGAAGATTCATGTTCAGTAAAGTCTATTCACTGAAATTAACCTCTCCACTTTCAAACCCTTAACTTTTAAAGAACTGAAAATACATCAAAATAGAATAATTCACCCTCCTCAGAGCAAGCCCACAGTACAAAAGGTCAAGGAGTAGAAGAAATCAATAAACAAAATTTTGGAGACTGAGTTCTTTGAGGTTTTTGGCCATCATTAAGGGAGAGTGGACTCTTCTAATGGTGGAAGACATAAAAATCAGAAAATTTCTACATATTTTCATATTTCACAAGTGTGTTATATAAGGGTCAGCTGTCTTAGTAAAGAAGAAAATACTTAAAGGAGTGATCATTTGTTTGACACAGTTACCTTGAAACTTAAACTATTCATTGTCCTAAGCACATTTTTATCTTCCAAATGAATTATTAGACAGAGTAGACACTATGAGACTGCTCCTGGCCATCTCCACTGCTTATAGACAAAGTCTGAACTATTTAGCCAAGCCTCTACAACCTGGCACAAAACGAGCCTTACAGTTTCTCCTCTTGTCTTCTTTATATACCTTTGCCCACATCCCAACTGTTCTCTGTACCTTGGTTTATGTCACCATTTCCCCTGTGAATAGTTTATCCTTCCAATTCTATCTTATCAAATCTTTTTTAAAAAAGATTTTATTTATTTATGAGAGAGAGAGAAGCAGACACCCTGCTGAGCAGGAAGTCCGACTCCGGGCTCAATCCCAGGACTCAGCTATCATGACCTGAGTAGAAGGCAGACACTTAACTGAGCCACCCAGATGCCCCTATCTGATTAAGTCTTAACCAGTTTTCAAAATAAACCTCTAGCGCCTCACTGAAGCAAGCCTTCCATGATATCTGAATGTGAAGTGATCTCAACCTCTCCTGACTTTCTTTGTACCGCTGCAGAACTTCCTATGTTTTACTCTCTACTACAGTTGTTAGGCCTTTCATCCATATAACTTTTTATTTGTTCATTCATTTACCAAGTCCTTAAATCCTTATATGCACTAGGTTATGGGAATACAAAGTTAAAAAACAAAAACCTTTTGTTCTTTCACTTTTTTTAAAGATTTATTTATTTGAGACAGAGAGGGAGAGCACAAGGGGCGGGGCAGAGGGAGAGAATCTCAAGCAGAAACCCCCTCAGCATGAAGCCCATTGCTGGGGCTTGATCTCATGACTCCGAGATCATGACCTGAGCTAAAATCAAGAGTCAGATGTTTAATCAACTGCGCCACCCAGGCACCCCAAAAAACTTTTGTTCTTTTAAAGGCAATGTTAAGAAAGTGAAAAGAACAATCACAGCTGGAAGAAAATGTCTGCAGTACACAGATATAATAAAAAACCTGTGTTCAGAACTTTAAAGAACTTTTTTCAAGTTTTTATTTAAATTCTAGTTAGTTAAAATACATGGTAAAATTGGTTTTAGGTGCAGAATTTAGTAATTCATGACTTACATATAACACCCAGTGGTTATCACAAGTGTGCTCCTTAATACCCATCACCTATTTAGCCCATCCCCTGCCCACCTCCCTCCAACAACCCTCAGTTTTTTCTCCATAGTTAAGAGTCTCTTATGGTTTGCTTCCCTTTTTTTTCTTCCCCTATGTTCATCTGTTTTGTTTCTTAAATTCCCCATACAAGTGAAATATGGTATTTTCTCTAACTGACTTATCTGGCCTTGTATAATATTCGAGCTCCATCCCCATCACTGCAAAGAATTTGTAAAGAATTCTTAAATCTCAATAATAAGGTACAAATAATCCAACTTAAAAAATGGGCAAAAGATTTAAACAGACCTTTCATCAAAGAAAATATGATTTGCAAATAACACATGAAAACGTGCTCAACACAATTAGACATTTAAAAATGCAAATAAAAACTAAAATACTGCTATACATCCATCAAAATGGCAAAAAAAACCAAAAAAGAAACAAAACCTAACAATACTAAGTACTACCAAGGATACAGAGCCTCGCTGGTGAGAATACAAAATGGTATAAACATGCTCGAAACAGTTTTAACTCAAGAGAAATGAAAGTATATAACCATACAAAATGTGTATGTGACTGTTTCTAGAAGCTTTATTACCAGCTGAAATCTGAAAACAAACCAAATGTTCATCAACTGGTGAGTGGATAAACAAATTATGGTAGATCCATATGATGAAATACTGCTCAGCACTGATAAGGAACAAACTAAAAATATACTTAACAATCGGGATAAATCTTAAAAATCATAATAATTTTTATGAATTACTGAAAATGAAAAAAGTCAAACACAAAAGGCTATACGCTATATGCTATTATTTAAATGACATCTGAAAAAGCCAAAACTAAGGGACAGGGAACAATTTCTTTTAATTAAAGGAGAATTTTTTAATTAACTGCAATTTTTAAGAATTGCAAACATTTATACAATGCTTTACTGTGATGATCCTTACAACATCCTATGAAGTATGCACTAGCTGTATATCCACTTTATAAGAAAATAAGAGTTTCAGAGAGATTATCCAATTTGCTCAAAGCAACACAGTGAGTGGAGGCACTCACATTCGAACCTTGTTTTCTGTTGCTTCAAATTTTGTTGGCTTTTTTCCCCTGCTACACTAATAACTTCATTATCGGCAACCTCAGATTTCATAATACTTGGTTCAGGCCTCTGCTAGTTAAGTTATAAAATGATTTTGTAATTAATAATTCAGATTACATATGAGAAGTGACAAAGTTATTAATTTTTAATGTTTACATCATTTCACATTGTTTGGGACACAGTGGACATTTACGTATTTGTGAATGAGCAAAGAATTATTTGCCTTTTCTCATAGGAAAGATAGCAGTGAATTAAAAAAAGAGCACGTTTCAAACATAATTGCTATTTCACTTAGGAAAACATTACTTCACTTATATATATATATATATATATATATATACACACACACACACACACACACACACATATAAATATGGCACTATAAGTAGGGTGTGTCTAAGAAGTCATGGCTTTTAGGAGTCAAAATTTCTGGTATATGAGCTACTTAAGCTTCAGTATCCACATCTGAAAAAAAATAATACTTATCCCTCCTTTTCCATAAATATCAGGATCAATGAGATTAAGGATTTGAAAAGTCCTTTGCAAATGGTAATTCAATATATAATTACTGTTAACATATTTAGTTATTGTTATCATTCATATCAAGCTGTTCAAAGTAATAGAAAACACTTTCCTTTCTCAAACCTTTATCTACAAGGAAAAAGATTTTAAAATCTCATTTTCACTAATGGTGACTAATGTTTTATGGTAATGTTTATTTATGTTTTACTGCTAACCAGGAAACCCAGAAGACTCAAGAGCTGTATACTTTATAATGAATTTATAGTCTAATGTGGTTCACAATCTTAAATACATAAGAAAAATCAGTTCACAAAAAGGAAAATCATCTAAATAGGTTAAAATTTGCTGCCAATATTTGGCATTTATATACAGGAATAATTTAAAGAACCAGCAGTTTTTTCTTTTCAAAATACACTCACCATTTGATCCCTAAAAACCATCTGAGTAGCATGAGAAAAAGGCTTTAAGCTGTAATATTAGAACAAACATAAATATCTTCCTATATCCAAATATTAAACAAAAGTATTTTTTACAAGGGAGAATTAAGTGATTTATGTTATCAAAAGGAAGATTAAGCCTTCTTTAAATAGTTATTTTTAAGAATTTGTGTTAAAATAAGTACTTGTGTATTAAAATATGTAGGGATGAGAAGAGGAGGTGATTACAACTTCTAATTTTGCAAGAGGAACTGTCAGGGTCAAATTTAGTTGAGCTTTAACACTAGGCCCCTAACACAACGTCAAATAAAATCAATAAGTACTTGTGTAAATATTTATTACTTAATTCATTTAATTTTATCTTGTGTATGCAAAAAGTAAGGCAGTTAAGTATCACTTTAAATGAGAATTGGACAAAACCCATCAAGGCCAACAACTCGTCTCCAAAAAGTTGTAATATGCATGTATTCCAGCTTAAAAACTTAAATTTTTCAATATTTCAATAAACATATTAACTTGTGATCAAAATTTTTACTTCTTAATTAGTCTACTTTAATCTCTGAAAAAAAGTAGAGCACAATTTTATGTAATGTCCAAGACTGGGAAATCTAATTACACCAGAACACTTCTAATCTGCTTCACTTCAACCCACAAATTCGCTTAACAAAAATGCCTTCATCTCCATACGCATACGTATAAAGCCACATATGATACATGAATTTCCATTTTGAAAATTATTTCTCTACTTTGGCTCAGAAACGCTCATTTAAGGAAAAACCACACTGAGGTAGTGTTCTTTTCCTTTAAAACTACCGGACAAGATTCTCCCTTGAACTCGCGATTCTCCCCGCCACAGGCGGTTTTAATTTGGGGCAAAAGGTAATATTCTAGATTAAATGACAACTACGGTAAAGTAAGTGGGAGAATTCTTTAACGTCGGCCAACTGCGGCGGTCAACTTTTGAACCTGCTCGCGGTCTCGGACGCTACTTTAACTATCAGAGAGCATTTCCAGGGAGTTTTAATGGCTCGTTAATCAACTCTTAAGGGCAAGGTCCAGCTAAACTTAGCATGATCAGGAAAACGATCTCAAGTAAAACTCGGTTACACAGACGAGGCACCTCCCCACGGCCGACTACAGAACTCGCCCCTTTTCGACTCAGCTGGCGCGGGACACCGCAACGCCCAAGCGAGGCCCTCTCGCCCCAAGAGCGCCTGCGCAATCTCCACAGTCAATTAAAACCGTCCTTAAACTAGTCGATGCAAATGGTTTTGAAATTACTGTCAGGTGATGCCTCACTTTAAAAAAATCACTAGATATAACAAAGCATACCGGAACGACCACTCACCGAAAGTGGTCCTAAACGCAAACGACAGGATCTAAGCTTCCTCTCGCGACTTATCTGGTGCTGCCGGAAACGGAACTACCGGTGTCTTCAGGAGGGGTGTGCTTATGGGGTCGTGCGGGCCGTTTGGCACTTGCCGGAAAGCGTTCCGCCCGGTGAGGTTTCTGTGTGAGACCCGAGGCGGGCGGGGAGAGGCGTGACCAAGATAAGGGAGGTGTAGTGCTTTGCAGTACCTCTGTGTGGCCCTTCAGCTGCTACTGTAGAGAGAAGACCTACGTCCAAGCTAACAGCTGGAGTCTTTTGAGGAACACTTCACTCCTGTGTCTGGGATTAAAAGGGAAGCCGAAACCTGGGAAGGGCGCGGCTATTTTCTGCAGCTTGCGTGGCTACTGCAGCGGTAGCAGGTGAGGACTCAGACCCGCGGAGAACCGAGATGCCGAATTCGGTCACCCGAGGCCGCTGCTGGGCAGTTAGTTGCTTTGTCTTTTCTGCGCTTTGCGGATAGACACGCGCTCTTCCTAGGGGCATGTGCCAGAGCGAAAGGCATCGTGGGCGTGGAGGAGTGACACTACAGCCCTTTCGCGTCTTAATTTCTTTTCCTCCTCCATTGTCCCCCTTTTTAATTCCTTGGGTTTGAGATACTCGAAATTTCATATGAACCCGAAGGGAACTGCCTAGGGTCCAGCTGGCACTCCAGGCTGTGGGCTCGCTCCTCCAGCCTGGAGTTTGGGGACTGATGTGGGTAGCGATGGCTATTTTTATTTTCATTGCTCAGTCTTTACCCCTCTTCTCCTCGCCGCCTGCACCCCCCACTTCAAAAGAACAAAAAGGCCCTTGCGTTGCAGCTTTCCCAAATAAAAACGGAGACTGCAGGTCACTCACTGCCTCACCTAATCAGTTCGAGAGTGTTGCACCTCGCGCCCTTCGAGGGAGACGGACCGAGGGTGGTGACCACTGGATCTCATTTACTAGGTTCTGGACGACTTCTGGGAGTTGGCGACCTTTGGATTTCTGTGGGTGATACTTGTTTTGCTTTAGTGTGCTAGAAGGCTTAGATGGGGAAGTAGGAAGCGTGGCTGGCCCTAGCACCCAGCATCCTTGCCCTACACTGGGATAGGGTTTTGTTTTGCTATTGAAAATTCTTCAATGAAAAATACAGTTTTTGTTTCAGGCAAATTGAATATTAAAGATAACCGCCACTAACAGAGTTCTTAAGTGTGCCAAGTGCTTTACATATTTTCTCATACGCTTCTCTCAACAATTCCATGAGGTATATTAGATTATTATTCTCACGTTCCAGAGATAGGTACTGAGGCTTAGAGAGGCCACTTGTCCTAAAAACTTTTGTTACTAGCAAACATTTAAAACTGGATTAGAAACCACATTTTTTAGATTCCAAAATCTGTATTCTTAATTATACTACTGTTGTCTTGCCATTATGCTTCTTTGCCTCCAGTTTCTTCACTAACATTTTCAGTGGTTGAAAGTATTCATTTAAAAAAAAATGCAGTATGCCTATTTATGTGTCTGATGAGATGATCTCTGTCCTCATGGAGCTTCCATATTGATGCAGAATTAAATAGTTCAGAAACCAAAATACTAACTGCAGTGTGGGTTTTTTGAAAGCGGATGACTAAACTGATGTGCAGAAGATTCAAAGTTGCACAGTCAGATCTTGCTGTTTTAAGTTTTAAACTCATGACTTGTGGTAGATGTTGTGAGGATATTACACTTAACAATTGGCGGGACATTTATTGATCACCCATATAAGTACTATGCACCGGTTAAGTACTAGGAATATACAGATGAGGTCCTTGTTCTCTAAAAGCACCTGCACAGCTACATATAAATAGTATTAAGGAACTATTAATTTTCCTAAGTGGAAATCATAATTGGTTATATAGCAGGATGTCCTTATTTTTAGGAGATGCATACTAAAGTATATAGAAATGAAGTATATTTATGTCTATAACTTTCAAATGATAGAGCAAGTACATGCTAGAAAGTAAATACGGCAAAGTGTTAGCAATTGTTGAGTCGGGTGGTGAGTGTATGAATGTACATGTATGGTGAACCATTCTCTCAACTTTTCTGAATATTTGAAATTTTTCACAATAAAATCTTGGGGAGGAAAAACCCTAATTCTAATGGAAACAGGTAATTGTAAAGATATATCCCAAACGCTGTGGATCATGGGGGAATGGGAAAGAGGCTGATGTGTATTTAGGGGTTGGCAGAAGCATGATAGTTGTCAGAAAAGCATTTATTGAGGACTTTGCAGTTAATTTTTAAAGGAGGAATTGGAACTTTCAAGGACAATAGTGAATTATAAGTAGAAGGAGAGACAGGCTCAGCAAAATATAGTTCATGAATGTTTGAAGAAGGAAAAAATCAATGTGAGGGTTTTGTGAAACTTGGCATGGGCTTTTTTGTATACACTTCTAAATGATGCTTGGCTGCCTTTGCCAGCATGCAGAAGCCTATTTAATAACCTCTTAGGTAGCTGTAGTAATAGTTCCCTGGAACTGGAGTCACCATTTACAACAGTGCTTTCATTGAAAAATGCTTTTAGGATTTCAGGAAAATTGGTCATGTGTCTTTTCAGCCTCCTCGAGAAAGGAGGATTTCTGAATACTACATAGGCCTGATGGTTGATCCATGGTACCATTTTAAGGATTAAGTAGCTTTGACCATGGCAGATCTGTGAAGGAGGTGACTGTTCATGATAGTCTCAAGCAGTGTGGTAAGACTGGAAAACATGTAATGAGGTCTCCAGCAGCAGCGGTGGCGACGAAAAGGAGTTTCCGTGGCTTCATTACATGGGTAGTAAATAGGTTCCTTCTAAATTGAATTGTTTGTATTTGTTTTGTGCTAGTTAAGTTAGGTAGGAATCTCGGTCTTAATTATAAAAGCCAGCAAGATAAGTAAGTAGCTGACATTTACTAAATGCTTACCTTGTACTAATTGCTGTTATGTCCTCATTGTCATTTATTTTTTTTAAAGATTTTTATTTATTTATTTGAGAGAGAGAGAGAATGAGAGATAGAAAGCACGAGAGGGAAGAGGGTCAGAGGGAGAAGCAGACTCCCTGCTGAGCAGGGAGCCCGATGTGGGACTTGATCCCGGGACTCCAGGATCATGACCTGAGCCGAAGGCAGTCGCTTAACCAACTGAGCCACTCAGACGCCCCTGTCTTCATTGTCATTTAATTTGCAAAATAATTAATGAGATTTATCCCATTTTACAGATGGTGGCCAGACAGTTTTGATAACTTAGTTAAGGACACAGAACTGAGCAACTATCAGAAAAAGCTTTCTAACCCACTTTTTCAAAGTCGAGAGTAGTGGTTCTCAATGTTGATTTCCAGACCAGCAGTATGAGCATCAGGTTGGAATTTTAAGAGTATTAAGTCCTACTTTGAGACTTTTTAGTTTAGTATTTTAACAAGCCCTCCTGGTGATTCTGACGTATGAAGTTTGAGAACCACTCCTTTGATTGTGGCTACTTGTAGCATGGTAGTTTCCAATTTAAAAATGAGAGTTGAGTAGTATTTGTCTTCCGAAGAGATATTTTATTTTAATTTTTTAATCACCAACTGTTTGAAATTTCATAACACTGTGAAATTTTAATTTGAAAGTTGCATAAAGTGAAGCCTGGCTAGGTACACTAGGGTTTTAATATTTAATAGGGAACCACCAATTAAACTAGAATTAGATCTTTAGGAATAAGAGTTTTGTTGGAGTTAGGCTTTGCAGTTCTATCTAACATATAATCCAACTCTTAAGAATATTCGATCAAATAGTTTATTATATTACCAGTAATCAAATGAATTATTTGATATGTGGTTTCATCTTGGTAGGTTATTAGTTTTAATGTGACCAAGGAACAGTAGTATAAACAGCTTTGGTAAAGATATTTTGAGATATCACTGTTATATGAATGAGTTCTTAAACTGATGTTGAGAGGCATCAGTTTCTATAGAAAAGCTTGGATGTCAATCACATAAAATTGCAGAATTTATTACACATGTACATTTTTTTCTGAAGAGCAGATGCATAGATTTTTTTAGGCTAGCCAAGGAGTTTTTGACTTTTAAAAGTTTAAGAGCTGCTGTTATAATGAAATCTTGTTTTTATTTCTAATCTTATTTTGTTGATTTTTTTTGAGACTATAATGCAAAACAGTTTTATCCCCTGAGCTTTCTAGTTAAAATCTTTTAAAAATTGATTTAATGAAATTTCACATTGATTTATAGCTTTCAGTGGGTTTTAAATCCACATTACATTTTACCTGGTTTTGTTTTTTTCCATTCTATTCAGGTATTACTTAACTGTGTTGCAGAGTTAGTTACCTTTTAATGGAATTTTGTTATAATTTGAATCATTTTCTCGTTTGTTATTTTTGGACTTGAATTTAGTGTGTATTTTTGTTATTGTTACTTTGTTATTTTATTACTATCTTTTTGTTATTTTTGAATCAGTTTGTCAAATTGATAAAATGTAGGTTATTGACGATGAGAGCCTAATTTTTTAATTTTATGGAAGCAAATGTCTTTTCATTTGAAGGTATGCATCAGGTTACTGGTCATGATTTTACAAGTGTCATTTACTCTTACATGAGTGTTTTTGAAGTACAGTCTCCAAAATTAATTTTTTCATTGCGTTTTAGGTGGAAAGATTACTGCATCAACTCACTGAAGCAATAGCCTCACTCTTTGTCTTTTAAACTTCATCAACAATGAAGCAGTGATATCTGAGAACAGAAGAACATTTGCCGACCAACTGTCATCACAATTTCAAGTGATTGTATAAGCAGCAACAAGCTGCAACAGAGCTCTGTGTCAGCTAGTATAGAGAGAATGGTTTATTTAGGAGCGTTTTAGTATAGTGCTTTATATCTGTATCAGATGAAATAAAAATGAGTGAGACCCCCAGATTCTTTGTTGGGCCTGAAGATACAGAAATAAACTCAGGAAATTATCGACATTTCTTCCACCATGCAGATGAAGATGAGGAGGAGGAGGATGAGTCTGTAAGTTGTTTGTTTGGTAAGAAAAGACCAGTACAGTATAGGCTTCTAGCTAATCAC